TATCTGGTTTGTTTGGGTTCTATAATCGAAACACTGTTTCAACTCCAGCTCTGGTTTTGGGGTTTTGTTTAGCTTCTATATTTGTAACAATGTTTCAAACTGCAAGCTCAGAGGCTGGCAGCGGCATGCGGGGAACGTTGGAGTCTTCCATCGCTGAAGCAAGCAAGCCCTATGTTCGCTTCAAGCTGCCTGGCTGCCGGTCGCCATCTTGGCTGGCAGTTAATTTGCATATCACCCTGATTAGCCAATGGGAAGGGTAGCAGAAGTACAGTTAATTGCCATGTTTCTCTTTTATTAGATAGGATAGTATTATTAGATTTTGCCTATAGTATTACTGGGCATATATTATCAGAAGAAACTCCAAGGTACTGACCAAACTTTTATCAAGTAATTAATTACCTTAGGTGGGAACTAAGGACCAGAGAGTCTAAACTCAACTGTATAATTACTGAACATATTGAACATATGTAAATGAAGAATGGCAACACATTATCTAAAAAGATCAAGAATAATGTTTGTGAATTTTCTCTAGTTCTTCAGGATCAAGAATAAGACCAAGAAAAGGAAAAAACAAATCTCTGGGCAAAAGAAAATAATGTTTTTCATTTGCATATATTTCTAAATGGCCTCAAATAAAATCTCTGAACTATTAAAACAAATCAAGAAACTAAAAACCCAAAAGTTGAATATTTACTTAGGAATTTGAGGCTAATCTGTGTTCTTAGATTTAAGATTAGTTTTAAATAGAAAAAATAGGTTTCATGAAACAGAAATGTTAATAACATAGGCATATCTAGGAATTGTTACTAGAATAACATTATTAAACATTTTCTAGAAGAGGGAGAATAATGTATTATCTCTAATTTACAATTACCAGTAATATCATTTCTTCATAAAAGTAGAAGTCTCCAACTGGTAGAAATATCATTGGAGGCTTTCAATAGGAATGCCAGATCATTGCCAGCACACCTCTGGACACAGGAGTGCTATTAGATAAACAGAATGATGAATATAATCCTACTCCTTTATGATGAATATAACTCACCCCAATGTTGTATGACCTGAAAATATAGAAGTGAGGTGAGACTCAACCACTCTTTGAGACTCTCAAGCAGGAGTTTTTAATTTGAGATCTACAATATGATTCCAGGGGTCAACGAACCCTCTGAAATTGTGTACAACACTGTATGTGTACCTTCGTGAAGCAACCTGTTCTCACAGGATTCTAAAACTGTTATGGGCTAACACTGTATGATATCCATATCCCATCATGTCATTAGAAATGAGATAAATTATTAAAATTCACATAATTGGGCATTATTCTAACCACTGGAACACACTTTTCCACCAGGAGATAGATTTTAAATTCAGTAATCGTGTGACTATTATTTACAACAAATAGAAGAAAAAAACTTAAAAATTTACCTGCAAGATTATCAATTTCTTTTTCCTGTAGCAAACTGACTGCATCATCATCTCCTTCCAGCATAAGTTCTGTCTCTGCATTCTGATTCACTATTGCTTGACTTCTGAATGTTTTCTTTGACTTCACCACATCTTCTTCAGTGCCTAGTCACAAGTGAAATACAATTATTTAGGTCATTGTGATTGTTTTGTTTTCAGTGAGTATTAGACATAATCTATTATTTTTCATACTTATATGCTGCATTTACACATTATTCTACAACTATAGAGCACTTTTACATTCTTTATCTTGTTCAGTCTTCTAAATAATTGTGAGAAAGATGGTGTAATCTACTACCCTTGTTTTACAGATGAGGCAACAGGCTGACAAAGCTACTTGTCTATAGAGAAACCTAGGAGTTGGCTGGTGGTAGAGAAAGGCAACTTGGGTCTCTAAAATCACTGCACTTTCTATCAAAAATCTACATCTCACCAAAAACTCGGTTTTCTGATCCATTAAATCACACAATTTTACATAATTATACCTTTGTGTGAATTAGGTAATCAACTGGGAAGATCTTTTAAAAATATAAATAGGTATGAAGAAAATAAGAAAGCATTCACATCTGAAGGAAGATATGGTTGTTATTGGGAAGCTATAGAAAGGTGGAGTTAGGAATAATGCAGACAAAAATGTACTTCACAATAGCTATTTCTTTAGCAATTAATAAAATAATGGTTTTCTAAAGTGATATTCTGACTTTGTTACATAAAATAGTATAAATGGCCAAAATCAAAATACACAAAAATAAGTCAGAAAAATGCAAATATAGCAAAGTTTACCTAGCATTAATAAGTCAATCAATATGAAGGCTAAAAATTAAAATGCATTTGAAACTTTCATGGATTTGACTGCTTAACAAATATTTCAATATTTTCATTCAAACACCTTCTTTGGCAGGTGTCAATGAATCTAAAATTACCTGAATTTCAAGTAAATTACATATGTGAAATATCTCTACTTCATATCAATGTATTAGGATGTAGGCTTTAAGGAGCAGCATTAACTGAGAAAACACTGCACATCTCATTTAGTGGACATATTCCTGAAAATGGAAGCTTAACAAATAACTCCTATATGGTGTTGTTTTATCAGAATACTAGGGAATGTTATATTGTGAACCCATGCAATTACTCTCTAAGTCCTGTCATAACTTTGGTCAAAATTCTCTTCGTTTAACAATTAATAATATTTTTGGTCGATTTTCCCAAGCCCAATAGAGGACTTCTAACAACAGTCCTTTAAAACCTGTTAATATCTGCTCCACCATTTTCTTAGAAGTATCCACTGTGAAACTTGCACTGTAAAACACTATTAGCCTTTTTCTGCAGCTTGCACTTCTTTTTGTCAGCAATTCAAAGCCAATACTGTTTGCTAAAACATTAACAAATTGACTCAAAAGTCCATCGAGGAGTAAAAACACATGTTGAGGAACACAGTCATGTCACAATAGCACTGTAGAGTGTCATTGGCTGAGAGGTACAGTCTGTCATCCTAGCTCTTGCTGGATAGTAGTATTTAAAGAGCATGATTAAAATATAGCTTAACAGTATAAAGTAACTGATTATTAAATATATATATTGATAAATACTTCAGAGACAAAAAGTATCAATGCTACCCTGGGGGCAAGGGGAATTAAATGTGTATTCTTCTTTCAGTGGCCCATATACAATTCTTATTTTTGGAATAAAATCTGAGGATTGATTGCTGAGTAGTCCAGAACCCTATCTCAATTTTATTTGGTTTTATTTGCTATAAAGCCAGCACAACAGTAATCTTCTTGGTGTTGCTATCTATATAATGTATTTGCATCTTTGGTAGTAACTTAATAGTAGAAATCCAGAGCTTGTATCATCTGAGAACAAAAAAGGCAAATCCAATGATTATTAACCAAGAAGTCTCTCTTGAGATCTTTATTGCCATATTTTTTACTAGACATCTTCACCTGGATTTTCTTAATTCCACATTTTCCTAACTGAACAAATCATCTCCTGCTCCTCTACCTCCTCCTATTTTCATCAACCCACTTACTGAAGCCACAAATGTAGAATTTATCCTGCAAGGTGGCTGCCACTGTCCTGGCTCAAACCATCATCATTTGGCCTAGAGGTCTTCCATAGCTCCCTCATTCACACCATCCTCCATGCTCTTGTCAGTGTGATTACTGTTCAACACAACTAAGGTGAGGATAATTCACTGCTTAATATGGTTTATTAACTCCTTCAATCAACAACACTGAGTGCAAAGATTATACTTTTAGGATAAAGTCTAAACTCCTTAGCATGACTAATCAAGGTCTTTTATCTGCTTAATATCAATTTTGCATTATCTTTTCTTAATCCCCCATAAGCAATACTGAGCCATTTATAGCTTCCAAAATATGTCATGCTTTCTCAGACCCCTTTACCTGTGCTAATATTATTTCCTCTGTATATTATGTTCCTTCCTTCTTCCTTTGTTTGGCTAATTCCTACTTGACCTTCAAAACTCACCTCCTTCAGGTACCTTTCCTAACTAACCCCTTTGTACTTTCACAATTTACACAGAACTCAGCCACACTATATAGGTGCTATCTGTTTTGTTTTTCTTCTCCACTACATTATAGACTACTTTCTTCCTTTTTTTCTTAACTTTTATTAATACCTATTTTATGCTGAATTTACCTCCGAGCCATAAGATTTTGTTTCTTCAGTTTCTTCTGGTATACCTTTTTCTTCTGTGCAAGTTCCTCTTCTAATTTAGGAACAATCTGCTCTTTTTCAGTAAGGATCCTCTCAATGTGGCAGGGAGAGCTCATGCGTGGGTCAATCCACTCATAGGATCCATAAGTTCTGTGCTGCATCTTAGGAGCTTTGCTCAATGACCAAAGAATCTACATTTAGACCCTTAAGCTCGGCATTACTCTGCATTTGTAAGCATGTGTAGCAAAAATTCAACACTCTTTTGGGGACACTGAATCTGTGTCCATCCCCCCTGGTGCCACCTACCAATTCCACTATTGTAAGAACAGAATGGCACACATTCTTCAGATACGTGGTGGCTTTTCTCAGATACATTCCCTTGATGGCCTAGGCAGTTACTTGAGTGATCTTAAAGTGAACATGAAGATTTGAACCTCCTGATTTGCATAAATTTGTGGATTTTGGGGGGCCAAATGAATAATGAACCATTTTCAGAAGTCACCTCAGGCAGCTTATGGGAAGAGTCCATTATAGACTGATTTCTGCGGCCTCAATGCCATCAAGCAGGTGTGTCACAATCATTTCCTGAACTGAAGTTCAAGTCTACCACCACGTGTTCCATTCTCTATTTTTTTTTCCTGAGCATTTTCTTTTTTTTTAAATTAAATCTTTATTGTTCAGATTATTACAGTTGTTCCTCTTTTTTCCCCCCATAGCTCCTCTACACCTGGTTCCCACCCCCAACCCCCGCTCTCACCCACCCCACACACACTGTCCTCACCCATAGGTGCATAATTTTTGTCCAGTCTCTTACCACATCCCCCAAACCTTCCCCCCCC